TATTAGGTTCGAGGCCATCGCTTTTGGGTTGGAGGCCATCGCTATTTAATGATTTATTTTGCTTCTAGGTTGGCGGCCACCTTTATTAGGTTGGAGGCCATTGCTATTAGGTCGGAGGCCATCGCTATTAGGTTCCTTTTGCTTCTAGGTTTGAGGCCATTGCTTCTAGGTTGAAGGTCACCTATTAGGTTGGAGGCCATTGCTATTAGGTTGGAGGCCATCGCTATTTGGTTTCCTGCAACGTTAGCACTTGACTTCCAACCGAGCAGGGTCTCACACGATCATGGCACCTCTGCATCTGCTTCATCGGTCTCAGTCTCACAGCGGTTCTGTGTCCAAAGCGGCTCTGGATCGCTTCGAGTTGAATCCTCTCCAGCCAGGCTCGGCTGATCGGCACTGGACAGACCATCCTCCTGGGCATCGAAATCGAACCGCTCAAGCTTCTAGGAACAAAGGGGGTCGCTACTAGAAGCAAGGACGCTACGAACGTAGCTCCTGGCCCTAGTAACAAAGACTCTTTCATTCAAAAACTGCGATTTATGCTTCTCTACAAGTTGCCAAACGCCTGGATCTCGGCCATGGCCTGCTCCAGTTCACGCGCAGCAGCCTGAGGAGCTATCGAACCAGAGTCCAAATGTTTAGACACACACCAAGACTTTTTGATGCAACTTGTTCAATTATACAGCTACTTTCAGGCAGTTGTTTCGTTGTTTGGTGCATTGGTGTGTTTCAATATGGTTCTGATTCTTGCTCGGTATGCACTCCCGCCTTAGCCTTGTCCCTGGTCCAAACAGAAAGAGAGCGCACTCGGGCGGCAAGGCCACCTGGCCCATGAGGTAGTGACCCGGAAGTAAGCTAGGTAGTACGAAGTAAGTCCCTCCAAGGTTGCAGGAAGCTTCTTTCTAAAGGTGTCGAATGTTTGCCCGATGGAGTTTTGTCCCGCTGGAGGGACACGTGTCCCGCTACCCCTTATTCTGCTCACCTGAGGAGCCGGTCTTGGAAGTCGGCTAGTCCTTGTACTAAAAATCCGCCGACCCCTGCTCTGGCGAAGGCAGGGGCGGCGCCTGGGACCACCGAAGGTGTGGAACCTGAGCTCTCCAAATCCTTACTTTTCTGGGCCCGAAAGCAAAAGCGCCAAAAGTTCGCACTTGCTAGACTGTGGGCTCTGGGCTCTGTGCCAGACTGCGGGCCATACTGGCCGTTGGAGCAGCCAGCTTCTGGATTCTGGACGCTTCAGACGCTCCAAAACCTCGCACTTGCCAGACTGTGGGCTCGGCTCTGCGAGACTGTGGGCGGAGTTGCGCAGGCTGTGGGCTCGGGGCTCTGGCGCGCCAAGTCCTTTTTCCCGAAAGCATTGCGAAGGGTTCTTCCGGAAAATCCTTTGAACACTGACACTTCGACACTTACACTTCGACACTCACACTTACACACACACACACACTGGAAGAGCGAAAGCATGCAAGCATGATATGCAAGGGTGGGCATGCAAGCATGCAATGACTATGCAAGCATGCAATGAGTAGGCAAGTGTGAGTATGGAAAACTAGCACGGGAGATGTCCTAATGAAAAAACATTTCCCCACTTTATAAATTCTCTCTTAAAGGCGGAGTGCGGGACGAACAGCATCAACCGAAAGTGCAACCCTCTGCGGAGATCGTGCGTGTCGAGTGCGCGAAATGCAGG